GGGGGACCCCAGTTGGGCCAAAATTGCCAGGTAGGGCGAGGAGGATGAGGAGGAGGCGGAGGCGGAGGAGAAGGAGGAGGAGGAGGAGGAGGAGGAGGAGGAGGAGGAGGAGGAGGAGGAGGAGCCGCCTGCCAGCGCGCGCCGCTTCGCCGTGTAGTTGCAATCCAGGCATGGCCGGGGCGTGGCGCTGCAGAGGCCGGCTGGTCCGAAGGCGCTGCCTCCAGGCAGCCCACAAACCCGTTGCACACAAGCAGGCCACGCCTTTCTAGGCCACAATTTTCGAGGAGCCTCTGCGGTCACAACTTTCTAAGACTCGCAGGCTAGCACGAATCATGCAGCCTGTTTTGGTTTCCAGCCAGTACTCGAAGTCGGCGCCATCTGCAGGAAAAAAGGTACCTTTCAGCAGCGCAGTGCAAAACAAATAGAACACAAGCAGGCCTTCGTCGCCCACTTGTCAGAAGCGTGGGCCCTTCTGTCTTGCCGAGCAGCGGACCGTGGGCGAAAGCGCTCTTGCCAAAGCACCACAGGGCCCAGGCGCCAGTGCGGTGGCCTCGGGCGCAGATGTGCATACGCTGACGCTGGCGCCCCGTCTCTCCCAAACGCCGCTGCGGCGCCAGTGCGGCGGCGCGCCGCTGCTTGCAAGGCCCGCAGCGCTTTAGCTGCGGCGCCGTGCCGTCGGAGCACCCCCCCTCCCCGGCAGAGTCGAGAAGCTGCCCACGGACGGCGAGGTCCGATCGACCAGGGCCGCTGCTGCCTGCCCCGCGCCGCGTGCACAGATTCTGCCAGAGGACCGACGCCACCCGACCGGCGGCGGCGCGATCCCACGGCGGAGGGCGGGAGGGCCTTGTGGGATGCATTCGCGGCCGGCGGGGCAGATCCGCAGCCTCGCCAGGATCTCGGAGAAGCTGGCGGGGGCGCCGGCGGGGTCCCCTGTGTTCCAGCTCGGGCGTGGAGCGCACGGCTGGTCGAGCGTCGCGTGCTCTCAGCACTGTTGCCGCTCGTGGTTGCGATTTGCTCGGCGCGGCGGCGCGCGGGGTCTGAGCTTGCTTGCAAGAACTGCGTGGCGCCCATTCCAGTTGCAAGGTCGGCGCTCTGTTTCAAGGGTCTGTCTGC